CAACTCTACACATATTTAGTTATTTACCAAATGATAGTCATCAATCCATAATATGCTAAATTCACCAAATTTTAATACTCCTTTCACTCCTAAATCATTTACTCTTTATGCAAAAGGAAATCAAACTTCAAATTTTTTAAATTCATTTTATTTAAAGATGGGTATATAATTAAAAAATAAAATTTACATATTTAAAAAATAAATTTACATATTTTGGAGATGCCGATGCAAAGTTACTCATATTAGAAAAATTTATATTTTGGACTCCTATTTAGGTATATTTTCTATGTTTTAGTCATGTTTAATTTTTTTTCTCTAGATTTTTCTAATGAGAAAAAAAATTGAAGTAAGAAATTGAATTCTCTGTGGTACTATCCCTTAAATCAGCTGAGCTTACCAGATAGATTATTATTTTTTTAAGGATAAAGCTATTTGTACCAGAAGCTTTTAATTTGTACCCCATTTGTACAACGCAGGTTTGCACCGACATTTTGTGTTGGTGTAAAACATATTTTTGATAACGCACCAACAATTTGCATTCGTATAAATTTTTGTTAATGCACGAATACTTGTGTCGGTGTAAACCATCAAAATGTTTGTGTATAACTGTGATGTACAAATGAGATTCAATTTTTGGTGTAAGTGTAGTATGATCTTTTTTTAATTTGAATTGAAAATGGGGGGAGAGAGAGAAGCTGACATCATAATAGAGATGTCGAGGTAGCGTGGGGAGCAATAATTGGCCAAACTGGTCGTGTCACACTTTATATTCTTCCCTTCCCTGCCCTTCCGTAGTCTCTCTGTCTCTATTCGATTCTCCTGCCGAATTTCTCGGACACTGCCACTCTTCTACTTCTTCCTCCTGCGCCACTTTTCAAATTCACACCATCTTTTTATTTAAAAAATAGTTCCGCCTCCGTCACATTTTAATCTTTTTGATTCACATACAATACTTGATCATTTTATTTTCAATTCAATTTATTTGATTGTATGTATAAAATTATATATTTAAAAACTAGATCAAAAAATCTACAAAACCAGATGACATAACTATGTTATTTTATCAATTGACACTGAAAATAAGTAAACAAAGTATATACTCCGGGGACACTGTGAATAGTATACAAGAAGATTCCAGAGAGACGCATGGAGTATTGAATATGAGATTCCCTCAATATTTTTCTATTTAACATATCGAAAGACTCAACGGATGAAACTATTTTTATGTTTCACCATACCGAAAGACTCAATAAATGAATATAATTTCATTTATTAAGTGTTTCGATACAGTGAAAAAGACTTATTTCATCCATGGATACATTTAACTATTCAATTTCATTTTTTCTAATTGACAAATTTTTTGGTGATCCTCAGCTCGATTTTTATTTTATAGAATTTAATACATAAAATAAATAACTGCATCGATCTTGAAAAAAGAAAAAAAATTAATTACGAGGTCATGAAAAATATGTGAGAAGATTCATATTTCACGTGTCGACTTTAGGACTACGCATCACAATTATTTCTAAATTCTCATGCTTAATCAAATGTATGTGGAACTTCAAACGTGAAATCTTTTTACAAGCGTAGTCATAATACTCCTTTCATCTCCAAGGAGAAAACTTCACATTTTAGTTTATGATATTTTATACGAGCTGAGTAAAATTTTAATTTTAATTCAAATTAATTTAATAATGGTGTAATTTTTAAATACTTACAAATTTTAAAACTACATATTCCCCCATCTCATTAAACTTTTCCATTAGAAAAAGTGATATTTAAGAAATGTGTAATTTGGTTTAAAAAAAAAGAAATGTGTAATTTTAGTATTACTTTCTAATTTTACTCTTACTTTATTGTGGTCTTGTTTGAAAAGAGCATTTTCAATTAGCGTTTTAGACAAAATTTAAATAGTGTTGATTAATTCTGAAAACATTAAGACTGAAGGTTTGTAATACCCCGTATTAAGATGAGAATGGGAAGAGCTCAAAAGGATTGATAGTACTACTCATACCAACAAGGTGCATCTTCTTTTCGAGAGCTCATCACCTAGAAACTCCAAAGTTAAGCGTGCTTGACCTGAAGCAATTCTAGGATGGGTGACCCCCTGGGAACTTTCCTTGGGCGCGCACGAGTGAGGACAAAGTGCGCGGGAAAGACGTGTGTTGGTTTGTGGGGCCAGTCTACAATCCTATGAGCGGACACTTATGGCCAGGGTGGGGGCCGGGGTGTTACAAATGGTATCAGAGCAACCCTGCGACCGTGACGGGCCAAGAGAGCTTAGTTCACCTAGCGGGGAAGATCTACGGGTTCAAAAAAAAAGGATGCAACGAGGACGTTGCATTCCTAAGTGGGGGTGAATGTAATACCCCGTATTAAGATGTGAATAAGAAGAGCTCAAAAGGATTGATAGTTCTACTCATACCAACAAGGTGCATCTTCTTTTCGAGAGCTCATCACCTAGAAACTCCAAAGTTAAGCGTGCTTGACCTGGAGCAATTCTAGGATGGGTGACCCCCTGGGAACTTTCCTTTGGCGCGCACGAGTGAGGACAAAGTGCGCGGGAAAGACGTGTGTTGGTTTGTGGGGCCAGTCTACAATCCTATGAGCGGACACTTACGGCCAGGGTGGGGGCCGGGGTGTTACAAGGTTACTGTCGGATAATCTTTTCAAAACGCTAAGCTCTAACGCTGATGTCAAACAGAGTATGTATGGTTAGATATGATGTGATGAGCAGTTTATGACACGGAGTAATTAGTAGGTACGGAGTACTATTTTTTTTGTTAGTACTCCATCTGATGGAAAAAAAGTTTTGCTTTCATTTTTTACGCATCGCACAAAACAGTCTTGACACACCTAAAATGTCTTAAGTATACAATATTTCTTCTTTGGTGCGGGTAGAAGTTATTTTAGGGATATTTTATTATATAGTATAGCAGGAGTAAATATGTTTTGTGAGATAAGAATAGAGGTTGATCTATGTTTTCAAATAGAGGGAGTATTTTATTATAATTAGGGTTGTGAGTTATATTACTATAGAGTTATGATTTCCTTTTTCCCTAAATAAAGAGATGTAACCCTATTAGAATTATCAATCAAAAATGATATACAGATTTCCTAATTCTCCTATTTTCTTGAAATCTCAAAAATATTTGAAGATTTTCAACTTAATTTTCCTAGCTAGTTATTATTACGGGTTCTCAATAATTTATGTTTGAATACATGTTTTCATTGATCATTTAATAAAATAAAATATTTGTATCATATCTTGTTTTGTGAAACTGTTGATGTAAATTTGAACGATATAATTTATATTTTTTTAATACTAATTTTCAAATAAAATCATGATAAAAGAGACAAGTTTCTAATGTAGTTTGAAGTGAAAAGATTAATTTAGAACAAAGAGTACTTTTTATTTTTGTTCATAAAGTTATTTTAAAAAAATAGTCCGTGACACATAGTAACATTGGAAAAATAAAGTTGGCGTGACCTGTGGGAATAACTATCTTTCAAACAATGGGGGAATAAAACCCGGATTTTATTGACCCCGTCACTCTCATTCATTCATCCCACACATTTGTTTGACAAAATCAATTCAAAGAAAATAATTGAGAGTGAACTTACGTTTGTTTATTCTTTTTTTTTTGCTCACACAAATAGGAATTCAAATGAGTTATTGAACATTTTTCTATTGTGATCATATAAATATTTCTTGTATGTAATAATTGTACTTAATAGACTACTCATTTAAGATCATTGAGTAGAAGTTATTTGAAGTGAACCAAAATACCAAGGTCATGTTCCCTTCGTCTTATCTGAATGATTCTGATCTGAATATTAGTCTAATCTGATATGATTTGAAATAGTAAGTAATAACAATAAATTGAAGAGAACATGATCTAAATCTAAATCTCTTGTCTTATAAGTAGTACTTTGTATTAATTTTGTTGTAATAAAAAACCACTCTAGCATGAAAAGAGACATGTGGTAGGGCAATCTCAAAATTCTGAGATAATTTTACATGAAATTTTCCTTTTGTCAAAATCTCATAGAAACTTCACATTATTTGTGGTGATGACAATATTAGAGTCTTGTGGGACGGCTTAACCATTTTTAAGTTGGTACCCAATAATACAATAATGACTTTGTAAATGAATTTGACTCCATTGGAATAACCGATGGGGTGAAATTGACTCTCTTCGTGGTATTTATATACTAAGATTTATAAAATTAATGCGAACTTTGGAACGATAGAAGAATTCACCAAAAAAACAAAGTCTCACTCATTAGTCAAGCACAAATAGACTTTTCTTTGTTTGCTCTAAGATTAAATCTAGAGGGTTAACAACACCGCCGGTTAATGTCGGTCAACATCGACAGAGGATGGAGCTCCGGCGGCAGTCAGCAGCGGTAATCGTAATTCCCCAAATTTTTTATTGCTCCATTTTGATTCCCTTTTTTATAAAAATATTTTGAAATTCATTTGGGCTTTAGGTAATTACTCCTTTGTTTGAATCAATGGGCGTGATTTAAAAAAACATTGTGGGCTAGATTAAAAAGAGTTGGGGCAGTTGACAACAAAAAGGGTGTCCATAGATAATACCCTTATTCAGTTCTTTATAATAATGCTAGAATGTAACTATACTAAGGGGCTGTTTGGCAACTTCTGAATCGATAAGTGCTGAACCAGTAAGAGGTCTGAACCATTAAGTGCTGAACCAGTAAGAGGTCTGAACCATTAAGAGCTAGTATATTGCTTAACTATTCAGAGACAAATGTCTGATCAATTCAGATAAGAGGTCTTAACCATTCAGACTCTGTATAATACTTAATCATTCAGAAGCAAATCTCTTAACCATTCAGACATCTGAACCATTAAGAGGCTGAAACAAACAATCTGAACCATTAAGTGCTGAACCATTCAGACATCTGAACCATTAAGAGGCTGAAACAAACAGCCCCTAAGTTTAAGAACCTCACAACTTCTTGGCTCAATGTTCACAATTCAACCTCATTTATCATATCCTAATAGCATTAATTCGGTTGACACCGCCAGGAGAAACAAGAAAACTAAGAGCACAAGAACTTTAGAAGATTGTCAAATAAATCAATATTCATAAAACAGTAAGAAAGCTTGAATCAACTGGAGCAAAAGTTGGTGAGGGACACCAAGCTATTGACATGAGGAATGAAAAAAGGGTTGCAATACTGCATTCTGGGATTCAACTGTAATGCGGAATGAATTTTCCCTAACCTGACATTGTAGACTATGATTCTTGATTTATTCGATGGTACGAGAAACGCCATCAGCTCGCCACATTTCAACCATCCCAAAGGCAGGAAACATCTGTCGTCATCACTTAAAACTCTGATCAAACTGCTCTGACCCAGTAAATTAATGTCCGACATCTTCTCCCATCCTGCATTTCCCTGATCCCTCAACAACCAGAGCTCCCATGTCCATTTTTCTTCCCACCGCATCAGGCATGGAAAAGACCCCATTTCTATCAATGTCACTGGAGACCCACTCGTGCAGCCTTGTGGAAATGGAATCTCTTGAAACGTCTCAGTTTCAGCGTTAAAGCTAATGACAAACGGGGCACACTCTGAAACCCAGTACAGAAAACTTCCCAGAGATAAAGAGCGATTTACATGGAGATCGGAATCAATTCGATTAAGTAAGCAGCTGCTCTGAAGGGGTCTCCATGTCTTATCACCCACAGTTAATACAGTTGGAGGATCCCGGGGATTGCAAACTACCACTTTGTACACTCCAGATGAAACAGCATATGCAAGTTTGCAGAATTTCTTGGCGACCAATTTTGGGTGTGGAGGGAGGGTTAGCTGCTGCTTCAAAACAGGATTAGTAATACACAACTCCCTGCAATTGTAATGAACCATCACCACCAGTCCATTACTACTGGATGCAAGATCACGTGATGGTGGAAATTCTACCTCCACAAGCTCAATATCATCATCACATTTGCCCATTCTCAGAAAATACCTGGGACGAGATTTGGCTGCCTGAAGTAGGAAAGCACCACCAGTTGATTTTCGGAGGTGGGTAGAAACAAATGTCTGGCTTCGCACTATGTTATACCACTCCCGACAAACATATTGCATGATCCCATAAATAACATCTGCCGGAAGGCGAAGGAGGATGTTCAATACAAGATCTTCGGGGATAAAAGAACCCATGTGCCTTTTTGTCCACTCACAGCTACAAAGGCACAATCTTACTACCCTTGATTTTGCAGTCAGATCCAGCCATCTGCAAAGTGAAGAACTCATTGTATTATACACATGAAATAGAAACAAATTTTTGATTATCTTATCAAGGGAGCGGCTTCAAGCTCAAACGTTTCCATTATGAGATAACTTGAACATTATTTGACAGAAATTTGAGTAATAAAAAGAGCAGTGCCCAATGCAATGCATATGCACGAGAGAAAGCAATTCTTTTCAGTCTCATGCATCTGATATAAACCGGAAGGATAATCATCCAAAAAGTCATTTAACAGATGATTATAGCTTTTGAGTCAAGTGAAGAATTACTCCATCTTATAATAGCTAGCTTATATTCTGGAAAATGAAAAAGAAATGCAAAAGGCTAAATTTAATTCAGGGGACAGGGAATGAGCAACTGCAAAAATTGATGGAATGCTTAATTTCCCCATTTTGCGGATTAATTTAGCAGAAAATGAGTACAATGCCCCCCCTGACCTTCCCATGTATCTATATATGCCTGTAAAAATATCACTATTAGAATGAAAATTTGCAAATGTTTAAAGTGTGACTGATCCATAACTCTTACTTTTTGAATGTGCGGAATAGTGTGCTCAACCACCCAATCCACCAGCTTGGAAGAAAGCACAGACCAATGGGCTAGGAGCAATGGGTGGATATATGGGCTAGGCCCGCAGTGAGTTTGGTTTCTACTATCCAGTTTTTACCCAAAACTAAAGACAAGAAACAGAAGGTTAATTGGTTGTTCGGTTTTGCAAAAAAGAAAAAAAACTCGGTACAAACAATTGGATATCTGGCTTGGTTTTATACCGTTCAAATACCAAACTTTTGGCTTTTAAAAGTACTAATATTAAAAGTAAAGATAATGTTTTTTTCAAAGATGCAACAGCAAAGATTAAAAACCGACCATGGATAAATCTGTCCCGCCAAATTATCACTTTTGGACAAGGTGCGTTAGTGGGAGAACCAACGATAAGGATTGAAGTCATTGAACAACCAGAATTGTTTCGCAGCAAGGGCAGTAAAAGTAAAGCAACAGCTTTCAGAACAACAACTATCCTTTTTCAATGAACGTCAAAACTGAATGACCGTGGTAGAGAGTGAAAACGCAGAAATTAAGATCAGCAATTAATCAACAGATTTATCTTTTTTAATTATTACAGACACGAAATTAGAAAACAGAAACAGAGAAGAAATTGAAAAAAAAACGACATGACGAACTCAAAAGGAAAAACAAGCAAATAAGGACTGAATCTCAAAATAGGAATCTTGCGGGGCGGAGAGGGGACTCTGACCTTCCACGCTGCAACGATTTCAAGCCGTCCGGCAACTGACGATTGATGATGCTTTGACGACTGACCCCTCCGGCGGTCCGACGATCAATATCGCCGCTGCTGTTGCGGAAAGGCGCAATCTTTGGGAAATACTGACTATCAATACTCCATATTAGACCGGATCACTGGCAGGTTTCCCAGGCCCGCCCGCAACCTTTTTAGCCTTGAAAGTTACTTGTATTTTTTTCGAGAGTAAATTCCATAAAAGGTCCCCAGTTATAGGTCGTTTTACATTTTTAGTCCCTACATATCAAATATTACTAATTTGGTCCCCCATTATTATATTTATTTCTACGAATGGTCCTGTGTTAACATTTTCATTAAAACGTGGATAAAATTATAAATTCACACTCCTTTCTCTCCTCAATTAAGCTTTCTCCTCCCTTGTACTCCTTTCTCAAACCCGTCGCTGAGTTTCTACCTTTGAACCCTAAACCAAAATCATCACTCTTCTCTCAATTGTTTGTCTAACTAGAGGAACGATCATTTAAATTTTGGGTTTAAGAGCTTCAAACTCAGCGACGAGTTTGGGAAAGAGTATGAGAAGATGAAGAAAGCTTAATTGAGGAGAGAGAGAAGTATGAATATACAATTTTATCCACGTTCTTAACGGAAATGTTAACAAAGGACCATTCGTGGAAATAAATATAATAATTGGGGACTAAATTAGTAATATTTGATATGTAGGGACTAAATATGTAAAACGACCTATAACTGGGGACCTTTTATATAATTTACTCTTTTTTCAANCTAACTGGAGGAACGATCATTTAAATTTTGGGTTTAAGAGCTTCAAACTCAGCGACGAGTTTGGGAAAGAGTATGAGAAGATGAAGAAAGCTTAATTGAGGAGAGAGAGAAGTATGAATATACAATTTTATCCACGTTCTTAACGGAAATGTTAACAAAGGACCATTCGTGGAAATAAATATAATAATTGGGGACTAAATTAGTAATATTTGATATGTAGGGACTAAATATGTAAAACGACCTATAACTGGGGACCTTTTATATAATTTACTCTTTTTTCAAATGAATTTTTAATGATTTTATTTTATGCTAGTACTTCGTAATACTCCCTCCGTCCCGATATATTCGTCCACTTCTGATTTTTGGAACTATTCATCTAAACACTTTGACTCATCAAATTCACTCAATGTGTAAGCCTAAATATAGTCATCTGTGATCTTGTTTGATTTGTCTTAACATATAGATTATTATTATATAATTTCTACGGAGTATAATTTTTTAATATACAAATTACAAGATAAAATGGATTAAAGAAGTGTATTGGATAATGTGTAAAAATGAAAGTGGACAAATACTCTGGGACGGGGGTAGTATTTTGTACGGAGTATTAATCTAAAAGTTACTTAAAATTTGAAATAAAATATTATAATACCTTTAACATACATATTTCGATATTTTAATACTTCGTATCAATTTAAATATTTTAAATATAAAACTCTTAATTTGTTGGGTTAATCTGAACACGATTATATTTGTCATAGACATGCAGTTCTCACTCGAGCTCAAAGTAATCCAACATTATTTTCAAGTATTTCATGATGGCTAAAAATAACACTCCGTAAAGATTTTAATATTCTAGTTTTTTTTAATATTATGTTGTTACGATAATTACTTTTATCACTTTTATTAAGAATTCCTTTCTTTGTTACGATAATTCACTTTTATCACATAATAAAAAAATATTATTTTGTTACGATAATTACTTTTATCATTTATTTTGTAAAACATATCACTTATCGTCAAAATATGAGTTTTATATTTTTTGACGATAAGTGATATGTTTTACACTTATTTTGGGTGCTTTCTTTTTTTAAAAAATACTATTTTATCTAATGGCAACGATAAATTTTATCGTTTTCTAAATTAATGTCAACAATTAAAAAATTATCTAAATAACTGAAAGATTGTTTCTAAGCAAGACCATAATTTTTACATTTTTTTACTTTGAAGTAATAAGATTCCATTGACACCGTTGTTGGCCCCGAATGACACTACTTTCAATTTGAACACACTACAATACTCCGTTCAACCATGATTCTTGTAACTCCATCCCAACCAGAATCGACTCAATCGAGTCATACTACAGTACCTCCACATAGATTCTATCATGAGTGTCCACATCCTATATATATGTAAAAGGGAATTCAATTGTTGAAGTGTTGACATGTGGCATGCCACATGTGCATCCACATGTGCACTCACTAATGATGTGAATTTATGCATTTCAACTCATTGGTCCATTTTGAATTTTCTAAAAGATCTTTGAATGCATTTGCATAAAACTTTTTCATTTTTTAATAATTCTATAAATATATATTTCATCATTGTAAAATATACTCCATATTATATATATAAATATATATAAATATTTTTATACTATCCAAAACTTATTTTAGTTTATTACTTTTTAAAAAATGATTATATAAATTTAATCACATATGCATATTTATTAATTAAATAATTTGTTTCAAAAATTTTATCTTATTACACTATTTATTCTATTGCTACAAAGATTTTTTAACAAACTAAATAAAATAAAATTGCTTTCGTTGAATGGTAACGACTGACAAGTAACATTATGACACATATACATTCTCTAATGATGTATCATTATATAATTAATCTACTTTTAATTAAAATATTTTATTAATTTAAACTTTTTTATTAGTATTAAATTCGATGACCATTAATTTTGTAGAATTTGTTTGTTTTTATATAACATACCAATATATATTCAACCAGTTTAAAATATATTTTGTCACTATTAAAAAACTAAAACAACTAAAATTATATTTATACAATCACAAAAATTTAGAATATATACGAGCCCGTGCGTAGCACGGGGTTAACCCTAGTATTTTATATTGGTAGAATAGACAATAATCGTTTGTGCCACAAGAGTAATCCCACTTTGGAGCACTCTTTTGTAAACATAAAGGAAATTCATCAATTTTACTCTTTTTCCATCAACTTTTTTTGGAAAAGGCTAGGGTACCTGGTGTACGCCAAATGTCCCCCACCCGTCTTTGTCTACAAAAATAGACAAGAAAATTTAAAAAAAATAAGTAAATAAAAAGCAAATAAAAATAAATGATTATGAATGGGGTGAGGAACATTTGAATTACAACTTTCGTGTACCCCTACCATCTCCCATCTTCTTTATCTTTTCTTTCTATATGTCTTCAATTTGGCTACTGATGTTCTTCTAGGCTTTTCCCAGTCCATATCCCTACTTTGAGAGACGAAAATGCGGTCAAGGAAACATTCCAAGGGTTGATGATTGCAGGGTTTTACTTTGATTTTCTGTAACACGTCGGAGTCTTGGTGGGGAGATGTCTAATCAAAGGAAACCTCACTTCCTCCAGGGGTTTAATCCTCGTACCAGCTCTCAGAAATTGGTACGGACTGTTTCTTTCTCCCCTTTCTTTCTGAATGGATTGATTTTAGTTTCTGCATTTTTGTCTCGGAGCATTCTCTAGGTATAGTTCAAACTACACTCAAGAGTAGTTCCCTATGATGCTTCTTGCTAAGAAGATCTATCTGAAAAATGTTGACATTCTGGAAAGAAACGTTTACACTATGTTTGGTTCAAGGAATTTGAAAGGAAAAGAAAATAGTTTTTCCGCATTTTCCTCACCAAAGTGGGAGGAATTTGGTTTTCCTCCCCTTGGTATTTTTTGCTTTCTCATATTCTTTTCTTTTCCTCTCTAACAAACAAGAAAAATATTTTCCTTCTCATTTTCTTCTCTTTTCCCTCCCTTAACCAAACATAGTGTTGGGCGTTGAGCTTTTTTCGCGAACAATATGCACTAAAGGGGGAGAAAACTTATCTTAAACAAATTATTCATCTTTCCCATCCTTCAGTTAACTTATCCATTCCAAACAACATTTGATATCTTCCTCTCCCAAATAACATTATGCTTGGTTAAAGGAATTTGAAATGAAAAAAACAAAGAGATGGAAACCAATTTTTCTTTTTTGGTTAGAGAGGAAAATAAAAGAGAAGTGGAAGGAAAATGAGCCAAACCTAGTGTAAGGGTTTAGGGCATTAAGAGCTAATTTGGTGAGGAAAATGAGAGAAAATCATTTTTTTTCTTTATCTTCCAAATTCCTTGAAGGGCTTGAAGCAAACATAGTGTAAGGGTTTTATTCCATTTCACTCAAGGATGCATTATCAAAATCTGGTCGTGTTTTTACCCCGTAATGAGCACGAGCCTTTGAGGCACTGGGGCAAGATTGATGTTGTTGTTGTTTTAAAAAAGGTATTTTAAATTATTATTTTGAGAGGTGCCATATTCTCTTGTTCTCTTGATCCTCAATTTATTGGGATGACTTGTGAAGGCAAAGATATGAGAATTTACAATAGCCTTAATAAATGAGAGGATGAATATTTTCCCTTCTAACGGTTCTCTTCAATCTAAACACACAGTTGCAGAGTGGATGGAGGGAGTGTTAATTTGGTTTTTCTGTTAGAGTTCACTGAACTTGCTTTCGTTAAGTTCTGCATATTGATCATTCTTTTCTTATCTTTGGTACAGAAAATCCCATCTAAATTTGCCAAATATATGGAAGGCGTGACATCTGGGATGACAGCTTTGGTAGGTCCCAGTGGGAACAAATGGCATGTGGGATTAAGTCAGCTTGATGGTGACTTATTCTTTCACGATGGGTGGGAAGTATTTGTTAAAGATCACTGCTTGGAGTGTGGGGATAATTTGGTTTTCAGATATGATGGCAATTTTTGTTTCCAAGTGCAAGTTTTTGATGAGGGTTTATGTGAGAAAGAACTTGCATTCAGTGCTGATTGCAGTCAAGATGTAACCAACTTTAACAATCATCATGAAATAAACAAACGAGATAGGGAGGGCTTAAGCATACCAGACTACATTCCTGGAGGGTTCCCAAAGAGAATGAGAAACAATAGAATTCATTCTGAATGCACAAGCAGTGGCCAGGAAAATCTCATTGGAAAGGAAGAATGCCCAAGCGGAGAACTGGTTTGCTATAAAGAAATAGAGATGGATGGAAATCCGTTGGAAAACTTAGTAACTGTTGCTGTGCCATTTCAAGGGCCTCAGGACACAGGTAATATGATTAGCTATTATGGAGTACTTAACATTGCACTGGGATCTGCTTTCCTTGCACAAAAGATGATTATCAAGTAAACTTCAATTTAGTAATTGCATCAGTAATTTTAGGGATATCTTTTACTCCGTATCTAGCAATGTAGCAATACATGTGTGTTTCGCTAATAAAGTTTTGTTTTATTTTTGGGGCTAAATCCTTCTAATAGTATTTGTATTTGTTAAATAAATTTATAAGGGTTTCTGAAGTGTATTCATTCCTTAGATGATTCACAAACATGTGTTTGAATTAGATGCATCCTTTGGCTGTTGGGCACATGACGAAGATGTTTTGTTCTCCACACAAGAAGCAGACGCAGTTGCAAAGTCATTCACATCATGCTTCCCTAACTTTACAAAAGCCATGAAAGGGTTTAATGTCAGTGGTTCATACACCTTGGTCAGTAACTGTTTTTTCCATGTTCTTCTGTATTGGCTATTCGCCTGAAATGCCATTTGATGTTTAATTTTTTTTCTTATTTACCCATGTTCACACTTATGAATATAAATCACCATTCTAGATCTGGCAAATTTCCTGAACAGGCGAACAGCTGCTAATTTCATCCAAGGTTGCCATTTATTTGATTTTTTCAAGATTTAGCGCTGGGTAATGGCTTAGTGATCATTTGGTAGGCATTTTTTTTGGCTTATATGCCTTGTCAAGAATTTTCTCTCAACACCAAGTCACAAACTCATTTCAGTTTCACTATGCTGGCTGAATCAGATTATAATGAAAAAAACTAGTGCAGAAGTTATTTTCTAACTGAAGACTGAATTTTTTGTAAATAACATTGCAACTTTCCTTTTTTAGATTTTTTTCTTTGATTTTATTAAAAGTATATTTCAGATAATTACGTTATTTACGTATGTCCAACCAATTCAGCCATTTCAGCTATTCAGCCACTTAAGTCATTTTTGTCCTTAACAAATGTGACCTTAATGATTTACCCTTACCATTCTTTGCATCTGAATCACAAAAGCGGATCTAGAATGCTCATATTAATCTTTGCACTTGCCATAGAAATATGTTTCGTGAGACAGGTGCACTGAAAATTTTTAAGAGTTTATATCTCACCATGTTTTTTCATTTATCATTTTCTATTTTCCACAGAATCTCCCTTATCATTTTGCAACAAAGCACCTACCCAAATGCAAAGTGAAGATTGTGCTTCGTAATTTGAAAGGACAGAGTTGGATTGTTAACTCCATCCCTAGATTCCCTACAACTCGAGTAGAAACATCACACACTTTTTGTGGAGGGTGGTTGGGATTTGTTCGTGACAATAATCTTGGTTTGGGAGATATTTGCATTTTTGAACTTGTCCTCAAGTGTGAATTTCGTGTCCGGATTCTCAGGGTGGAAAAGGAAGGCACTGAAGGCTACACTAATAACCCCATCAAGGTAATACTAAAGAGTGTACTGCTAAACCCCACAAAGTTTAGGATATGTTTGGATACAATAAAATGCTAGAGAACAGAAAAAATGTGATGACAGTTTTGTTTGTCATGTTTGACTTATCTTGTAAAACATAAACGGTATGATTAATTTTACATATATTTATTTTTCTTAGTTTTAAATACACTAGAGATAAATAAATAAATAAATAAATAAATAGAGTTTGAATTAATATCCAAATAATTACATACTTCAAATTTCATATTTAATTTTGTGTGTATCTTTAATTTTTCATACAAACTTTCTTCCTTCCGATTTGAATTATTTACTGCTATTTTCTTCCCTAGCGAAGACATAACAACAACTACTGCTACAACAAAACAGCCTTATCCCAAATAACTTGGGGTCAGCTATTTTCTATCTGCAGTAAAGAACGTAAACGTGAAATTTTATGACATGTGCAGTTTGTGGCAAAAGAAAAAGGAAAACCCAGTATATTAAAGAAATATAAGTCACATTCGCAAGTGAGGGCCAGCATTCGACATTCAGGTGGTTATTTGATGATTAAGCTACTGAACTTGATGAAATTTCTGCACAGTTTTCCTCTGTTGAATGAATAATCCTTTTCTGCAAATTTGGCACAGTTCAGAAAGGGACCGGTTCTCAAGATAAACTATGTTCTTTCACTAAGGGTTGTATGTCATTGAAGTCAGCACCTGAAGAAAAAATAGCTGCTAAATCTTTCACCTCTAGCTTTCCACATTTCTTGAGAGTCATGAAGAAGTTCAATGTTAGCGGCTCATATACCTTGGTAAAGTAACTTTTTTGTTGTGTCATTTTTTTTGTCAACTTCTATATCTATTAACTTTGTGGGTCTATTTGGAACTCGGAAAATGCTAGAGAAAGAAAATAGTGATTAAAGTGTATTAGAAATTTGTAAGAAAAGGGAGAAAATAAAACATTTGTTCGAACTCAAAAAAGAACATTTTTCTTATTTTCTCAATCTCGGTTTATTTCTCAACATCAATTAGATAAAGACATGTGTATTAAAAAATAAAACCTGAATCAAATTTCATTTTCCTTTACACCTTCCGTGATACGAAGTAAAAGCTAACCCTCACACACGAAAAAATGAATTTCCAAATCATTTTCCCTTTTCCCAACATTTGTTGGGATCCAAACGCACCCTACGGATCCACAAACATTTATTTGCTCAAACTTAATAATTTTTTTCTTGATATCTTTACACACTTAATCTGTCTATCTATATTAGAGAAAGAATTAAATAGAATCTAAACATGTGAGTGAATTCCAAAACATTAATCCTCTTTCATTTCCCTTACCTAACACTAGAAGAAAGGTTTCCCAAGCATGTAATCTCTTTTCCCCACCATTTTTTGAAATGCAAAAAGTGTTTTGCTTTACAGAAAGTGCCATCCCAGTTCTCAAAGGAGCACCTACCGAGTTGCCGAACAGAAATTGTTCTCCATAATTTGAAAGGACAAAGATGGAGTGTAAATTCTATCCCGACAACCAGGGTGCAAACACTGCATACATTCTGTGGAGGATGGATGGCCTTTGTTCGTGACAATGACATCCGGCTTGGTGATATCTGCATCTTTGAGCTTGTTGGGAAGTGTGAAATGCGGGTTCACATATGCACGATTGGGAAAAAAGGTTTGGATTACAGAAATGTGGGAGCACTTGAAAGTGTGTACTGATGGTGTTCCTGAAGGACTAAATTGACATTTCCCTAGCTGTTTTAGCTTGTAAATGAAATTTGTGTTTTAGGGAATTTCAAGTTATGCTCTTTTGTCCATATACTGTATGCACAAACCAGTGAGCAGTGGTTTATGAGTAAATAGATTATGAATCATGTTTTATCAGAACATAGATTTCTCCATGTACTAAAAAACCAGGGGTTTCTCCCAACTGCTCAGACCAATGTGTGTTCCAATCACTTGTATCAAGTGAAGTGCTCTTCACCAGTTGGTTCTAGCTTCTATGGAGAGTGCTATGGGTTTTATTTGTTGGTGTAATGTCCATGAAAATACTTACTAGGACATTAATAATTTGCCTCTGCAAACAAAAAATTAATATAAAAAAAACTTTTCTATGTAATTACTACGTAGTAATTATTAAGACACATATCCACCGCTACACCATCTTTTGACATTCTTCCTTCTAATGAGTAATTTAAAATTAATTTTAGTAAAACATTATAAGTCCCAAACATGCAAGTTTTTGTATGACAAAAAATAGTACTACAAGAGAAAAATCATATGGAATAGAGGGAGTATTATATTGCTGGGAAAGAATACTCCACCTGTCTCATAATTAAATTCCTTGTTTGACTTCATTTAATTTAAGAAACATATTGAAAAATAAAAAAAACCACATTGAAAAATAAAAAAATACTCCGTATGAGCTTAAAGCTTTTACAAAAGGATGGAAAATATTCTCTTTCACAAAAGATATTTGGAAATTGTGAAGTTTATATTGGGAAGATAAAAAAATGTGAAATTTATTTTGGGATGATAAAAAGAGTGAACTTTACAGTTCTATTTTTTAAAAAAGAAAAGAATATGCAACACATGATTTCTACAATACATTTTTTTTTGAGTTTCTACAATTCAATACGGAGTACCATACTTTGATCATTAATAAAGACTCAGTTTTGCCTCACAATTTTTTTTCTCACTTTCACTACAAAGAGATTAACATAGTGTTATTCCAAAAAAACAACGTAGTGTTGAAAAGGTGAAAAATGTATGGTTACAATATGTTCGATTTGTTTCAAAAAGAGAAAAAACGGGCTTAGGAATTAAGTAAACACGGAGTTCGAGTGGTGCGAAGCAGATAACTCAAATCTTGATTCAGTTAGAAGGCCTCTGGCAGGCAGCAAATAACTGCCAGCTGATGAAAGCAATCGCCAATGAGGTGAATAGTTCAAAGCCAACCACCTTTGGAAGTTGCCACCCCATCCCCTGCTTCAGGTAGCTGCAAACATCACACCCCACATATATACACACACACACCCTTTAAAACCACATTATATCTTTGAGTAAAAAAGGGAACCGCAAAAACAAAACAAAAACAGTCCTCTTTTCTATTTTTTGTTCTTATTTCACATAAATGCTACAAATAGAAATATAGAATTGTTAACTTTTGTAAAGGGTAGAAATGGAAACTGCATATAGTGGACTATCTTGGTGGGGTGGACTGAGTTTATTCTTGCAGAGCATGTATTTGGTATAATAAAGAGAAGATGAAGAGGTCAACTAACCTTGTTATGGAGGGCATTGTTGCAACAATCCCAGCACATGTATAGATAATTGGAACCAATGTCTTTGGTTTGCTTTTCCGCAGCCACATCAGAGATCCCAGTGCAGCTAGTGATATGTTGAATACCTCAAGAAATTACAATTAGAAGAGCAAACAGGGAGTTAGCATCAGGCATATAGAACTGATATGCTCAAGCACGATCCAAACATTACTTGAAACAGAAGTGTCTTAAAAATGTAATCTTGCAATTTTTATATATTCTAGTCTTGTTTCATAATTTACTTTTAATTGGAGGTAAAGGGCATTGGTAAAAATGTACTCTGGGGTAAGAGTTTTTTTAAAAATACCAAATTGGCATTTGCCTCAAGGCCTTGCAGGATGTACTCCCAAGTGAACTCCAATCCTCTAGCACCCACCCAGAGGGGTGCCAATCTGTGAAGAACAGAATCAGCAAAAGCCCAGCCTGCAAAACAGAAACATTAACAAAAACATATTGAAGCGTAGTTTGGTCAAATGTCAGATACTCAGGGAAAAAGAGGTGGGTTTTGGTCACTTGTGTATTAAGCATATCATAAGTGATTGCGATGTTGCACAGTCGTAGCAATTACAGAGTATTTGTTATTATTGTTGTTTCTGTTGTTGTATAGAAAAATGTTATATGATCACATATTATGTATGTCAAACTATTTTTTTTAAATCTCAAGTAATAAATATTTGAAGTGAGCCAGTTAGCCCTCCACAGTCCACACCCCTCAAGAGCCCTCTATCCAAACTTACCATTAGGAAATCAGAAGTAGGTGTCCGTGTGTCACGTACTCAGACGGAATGAGTGAAACATCAAATGGCTAAGCTAGACAAACTACATATATCATAATAGACAACCCCTAAGTGGTTAATATCCACTTTTAATGGCCATGACTCCATGAGAAAAGTGACACAATCAATTTCAAGAACAAAAGAAGGTTATGCAGGAAGGACACATGTCACATAATAGAGCAGAGTTTACTGACCAAGTCCAACAGCTTGAAACTTATGGTTCTGAGAAATATTTCTGTGTGTCAATTGTGTCAATGCAAAATAAAGTCCTGCAACATCTATAAACCCGAACAAAGCTTTCAACAATTCCTGAAAAAGCAAGAGACATATCTTACAGTCTCTATTTTCCACAACAACAACCCAGTAGAATCCCACATCCCACAAAAGTAGGGTCTGGAGAGGGTGTGTGTACACAGACCTTAACTACTTGAAAGTTGTCATTTATCAATTTTAAATCAAGGATAATAGTAAGCAGTGATCTTTGGAGATCAAGAATATCATAGAAAGCCTTAATTATTGAATCAATTTCATTTGCTTGTCTGTGATGTCTGACAGCTTTAATACTTCAGTTTAATAATTTCTACCTTCACTTCATATTACCTGCAATTTAGAATTTCTAAATGCAACAGCATGACCACTATCTCCTCGATATTTCACACCCAGTTACAGTTTAAGCTACCTTTAATACGGAGATAAGAGTTGCATATCACAAGATTTACAGTAATCAAACATAATGGTGTGAATGAAATTTTAAAGTTTCTTTCCAAATAATAAAAAACAATGAAATAATATTAATACATTAATAATACTAACAATGTTGTGATAGTGTATATGTCATATAACAACAAAATGCTAACAAGAACAGGCTACAAATACCTGGGATGGCTCAAAACTATCACTTTCGGAAACATTAAGAAATGTTGCAAGGCACACAAGCTGCATGGAAAAAAATACGGATATTAATTTATTGTTGCAGTGAATAACTTAATGGTAAAAATGGTCTTTAAAAACTGAAGTTGATAAATTGTCTAAGATAGATGTGAAACGTAAAAAAGTCCTTCCTAAGAGAAAAAAAAGCATGGAAACCTATTAAAAATAAAACCCATCCAGTCAAACACGCAATACTTACTGACCTTCACTAATGCCGTTCCAAGATAAACAACAGCAGCTTTTACTGAAGTACCTAGAGTATCATACTCAGACCTGTAAAAGTTTACTCAGGCACATTTTTCAAACATTTCCTATGAGAGACAATTGATGAAGTTAAATACAAGTTCCATCTTTGATCAATAAATCAAACCAAAATTTTGCAAACACAAACCCCAGCTCATCCAACTTGACTGGACGGGAACTGAATACTAATCCACACCGTGAACCCTCAACGATCCTAACTTTTAGTGTTACCATAATCAACTTCCTTGTCTTAAACTACATGTAGTAAGAATTACGGGCAATGTAGTTAGTTGAAAACTCGAACATACGCCAAATTGATGGGCTCTATTTTAAGAATATGATTAACATATTATTTAAAAAAATGTGATACTCCCTCGCTTCCTATTTATCTGTGTTCATTGATCAAATCAATAAGCTGAAACACCCTCACTTAATATGGAGTTATAACTCAGTATCATTCCAATATTTCTCTTCCATAAATAGATAAGGGTAAATTCTGAAGGGGAAAAAAACAATCAATGCATACATTCATAAAAGAATAGTATATAACGAAAAGCAACAACCAAAACACAAATGATAGATTTGAACCGATGGAGTAATATAATAATATTAACACTGTATTAGATCGCAGCTGCAATGCAATCCAAAAAGCCAGATTCTACAAAGAGCTCAGATTGAAGAGAGAGCCGCGAAGGAGAACAAGTTCGTACCAAATTGGAGCTCGAATCAAACAACTGGTTGAAAATTATTTACAGCGAGAAACGCAATGGAGGGGAAACAGAAAGAAATAGAGAGAAAACTCACAAGGGAGTGGCGGAGTAGTATACAGCGTGCGGGCCGAATGTTAAGATCGCACAGTTGAAGAAGTGGAAAATCGTCATCTTCTTCTTCTTCCTTCGCCTGCTTTGCCTCGCGGTTACCCGGCTTCAGCTGGAAAGCTCAGACTGGAATTGGGTGGACAGAAGACGGGTTTTCTATTTGGCCCACTGGACTTTCATCAATTAACTCCACCTTAATTGTCACATTACCAAAAAAAATCGCTCCGATCCAAAAAGACTTTTTATTTATTTTTCACAAAGATTATAAGTTATTAATTTTTTTTGGTAATGTGACAATTAAGGTGGAGATATTTCACATAGATTGTTTAATTTTAATTCTAAATTATTAATTTTTTAACATATTATTATCATTGTTATAACTTTGTATTACTCTTTATTAGTAAAGTAATAATTTTAAATTGTATAATTTTTATTTTAATTATTTTTAAAATTCTTTTTCCTTGTTTTTCATTTATTGATCTATTTTTATTAATTGATAAATGTTTTTACTAAATATATAAATTTTTAAATAAAATGATGAATTGTGTTTAAATGGAGAGACATGGTTACAAGGCGATATCATTGCAAGTGTTTTGTCTGACACAGAAAAGAAAATAAAAGATGACGTGACACTGTAGAAAATGATGAATAGTGTTTAAGTTCAGACTGAAATTAAACCAAAACCAAACTGATCCAAACTTTACCAATTATAATATATATCCGAAAGATTTTCAAGTCGAAATATTTCAATCCCGAAGCAATCGGATTGCCACCTCTAATCCCAAGTG